AGGTAGTAGTTGATTTACACTTCAACAGATTCAGATAACGCGTATCAAAACTTCCCATGTGACACAAATATTCTCGTTCATCTTTCATATAAGCCATGCAATATTCGCAAATCCAAAGCTTTTTTAACTTGCTATATTTCTCCGGGTATGGAGATACGTACCATGCTTCGATCTCATAATTACCGTACCGAATAATCTCGATATTCTTAACTTTAGTCATCTGAAAGTGGGTAAGAAATTGCGATCCAAAACATATAATACTTGAAAATTTGAAAAAGAGACTTCAGTAAATGCATAAATCAATTTCTAATAGAGTCCAATCGCTGAAAAATAAAGTAAAATACCTCAGCGTGTTCCTTCTCTAACTTTGCTGTTGTTGCATCCATATCAGCATAGCTCTTCTGTACATGATTAAATTCTTCGTGGATCCTTCTCTGACTACGCGTCAATGTTCCTTCCAAAGCGCTAGCTAGTGCAGGTGGTACTGTCTAAAATATGCGAAGAAAATAAAAATTAAAATCCCTCCGCCACAAAATAATGAAATTTATAAAGCTTTTAACTGTAGAAACCATCAAGCCAGGTCAAGTAAACTTCCAACAAAAAAATCAGTCATTAAAAAGTAGTCAACCAAAATCGACGGAGTAATCGCGCCGAGCTTCGCCCTTTCTATGATCCTTTCCCTCTCAACCCATTCGTCTAAGCGGCGATCCATCCCATCGTAATGAACATAATAAATTTTTTTAGGTCTGCTAAAAATTGAAACTTAAAAGTTAAAGAACAGTTAAAAAACTCGGTAAACCTAGAAGCTTTAAAATTCTGGCATACACCACTCAGCACAACAGGAGCAAAAAAACCTTGTTGGAAGAATATTAGAAACTTCTTCACTGACACCCTGACATATTTCACTAATAAGATAATCTACAAGTTTCTGCACTTCTCCATCTAGAACAGGATCATTTGAACAGGAGTGCCGTAGTTTCTGCAAATGAAAATGTCTAACTTGTCAAATAATCCTTATATAAAGAGCAACGCCCCTTTCCTCCATACAAGTAAAAAGGAAATGTGCACATGCAAATAAAACGATGACAAACATTACCTTTCTCGGTGGTTCAAAGAAATCTGATGCCTCATCCTCGTTCTCGTCGTTCCTGATTTCAACAATTGTTGCAACGCATCGTTCATCGGATACGCCATCTTTATTTGGTGCTCTACGCAAAACAACAAAAGTTTCACCTACTTTAAGTTCAGTCGACGGTGTAAGCGATAAATCTGTCGAAAGAATTTGCCGATCTTTTTTCGCACGCATCTCACTCAAATATCGCTTCCTTCTCCTTCGTCTTTTTGCTCTTCTTCTGATTAAATATTTCAACTCTACCTCAGAACTATTATTAGTTCAATCTGAAAAACTCGCAACACGACAAAATTAAGATGCATACAAGGTGAGCATAACGGGAAAACGAAGGATGGAAAATGGAAAACTAAACAATGGAAAGAAACTAGTGTTCATCAAAAATCTAAGCTCGAAGCTTTATGAAACATGCTTCAGCAAAATGCCGATCAAACAGAAATAAACTACTCCATTCTGCATCCACTTTTGCTCAAATTACGAAAACTACAGATACAAAACCGAAAATTTTCGTCAGAACTGCTGTTATGCAGCGGAACAACCGCCACTTGGAATTATGCCAACAGCGAGTTGGCACAGTTCCATTAACGGAAGCAAAACTGTGAAAAAGTTAATCCCAGCTATTTCGCGCGGAATTTTACGGATTCTCAGCAGTTTCCAGTCACCTTTTGTTACTTACTGAAGATTTGGCAGAGATGTATTTGAGTGATATGAAAAGTTTTCTCGAAACTTTAGAACTTTGAGTGTTACGCAAAAGAAAAAAATGAAACTGTTTTGAAAACTAGTTTCTGTTTGTTATTGCTGGTTGTTTGCAACCGGTGGTACCTCCATCCGAAGTTTCATTTAAAGTAACGTTTACAGTTGTTTAGCGACACATTAGGAATTGCTGGTAGTTCATAATCTTCTAGGTGAACTATTTCCCTCATGCAATATCTAATAGGCCTGTTCTTTTTCCTTTTTTTCTTTTTTTTTTTCCGCTGGGTTGCTCGGCAATGTTTTTCGTGGCCAACAACCTGACAAATTACGCATTCGTGATGTTGACAGAACGACGGTTTTTTTTTTTTTTTTTTTGATTTTTAGGCAAGGTTGTGTAATATTGCACTTTCATTCCTCGTTAGATACCGAGAAGATACTATTGCAAGTATGTAGTTGAGTACTTTCAGTTGACAGCTCTGATGTTTTCAGTTCTTTTGGATGTGTACAATGTTTATTGTAACTTTGACAGCACCTTGTTATTACGCTTATTACGCTTAGACTTTCACTGCTTTTCCCCCTACTTTGACGTTGGTCTCTTCTTACTTTTTTTTACGTCTCTAATTTTGTCTTTCCAGATACTACTAGATATTTTGATATATGTTGAGAATTTTAATATCATAGATCTTTAACTTGTACGGGTAGATGAAGTTCTCAAATAATTCACTGAATATTTTTTTGTCGCATGGAAAGATAGCATTGGTAGTATAGAGGGCTTCTCTTAATTAAAGCAACGTGAAAAGCAGACATATGCCCGAAACTCTTATATTTATCATCATGTATTCCTCACAATTGTTTTTAAAACGTGTTTTGGGGTTATTAAGCTGGATTTTTTTCAGTACGATTAACTCTCTTCGAGCCTGCTACTGGTTTTTCAGACAGTTCGAAAGCCCATGATTGAGGCGTTACTGAACATCGAATGCTGTGATCTTTCACCGCAATTATTCCTTCCATTGAAGTATGTTTTGATTAATACTGTCAGGCCCAACTCTTTACAGTTTTCGCACTGCAAACGAAACTGGACTTTCTAACGCATTTAGCAACGAGAGCTTGGTCTACAATGATGATTATTTAAGAGTAAGGAGGAAACGAATTTTTTGGAGGGTTTTCATGTCGTAACAGGTCCTTTGCCTGTTAGGGGTATGCCCGCGTAGAAAGGCTGGAATTTTTTTACGTAGGATGATGAACTTATTCATTTTATAAAAAGAAAATGATAAATTTTGAACCACATACACTATATTGCACCGTTTCACTGACATTTGGTCATTTTCAGCTCAGAAAAAGAAAATCAAGATTTCCAACTTTAGCTTCTGGGACACGCAGGTTCCCGTAAATCCAGATTTAAGTGTTGATACTCAAAAAGTGCTCTCAGTGGTTTTTATACTCAAACCAGAAGGTTTACAACCTTACCTTATTCATCTCAGGGTGAATTTTTAAGCTGTTTTTACTGCCAGTTTCAGAGAGGCAGACGTGGGCTATTTTAAAACGTTCTTATTCTTTCCTTCAGTATTCGAAAAATTATTAGAGGGGCATTGTTGAACTCGCTGTGAGTCAGAGCAGCTAAAAATGTCCTAACGGGAACTTTAAATTCGTTGAGAATCTAATGGAGTCGTCATTAAGTAATGCAATAATCTGTTAGTTTTGGGGTACCATAGTTTTCCTTGTTTACCCTTAATTTGCAAGGGTAATAGAGAATCTCTTATGCTAAGTGCCGTCTTGGGGAAGCGTGTGTGGAAGGCCTCAAATTACACGTTATCTGAATCTGTTGAAGTGTAAATCAACTACTACCT